CTAAGGTCAATATCAATAGTATTCGAGACTATAGATTGTTGAAGATCAATATTATTTACAGTTAGATTAGCACTTAGTTCGTTATCACGAGATAGACTACTGTTGTTAGTATTGCGAGATGAGCTCAAATTATTTTTATTCAAGCTACTAAGTTGGTCACTGTCACGCCTTGGCGATTCCTCTATAATGCTAATTGGGTTACCTGATCCACTACCTTTGTTCTGATAGTCTTGGGACATATTAAGCACTAGCTTCTCCAGGAATAATAACTTTGATTTAAAAAATACATTCTCCTCGATAAGTCGGCGATTAACTTCATCTTGATTCCGCACAACGCCTTCCAATTCTTTTAATTTTACCCTAAGCAGGTTAATGTCCGACTCATATTCGTTTTCCAACAATGCAGTAAGCAGCCGCGATTCCAGAATTGTAAGGTCTAAGGTCATGTATACACACTGACATAAATTCCCATAAATCAGTTATTAACCAATTAACTGGCAGTACCCTACCACTGACAAGGAAATTGTTCTGGTTTTACAGTACATCTATTACTATGATATCCACAATGTACTGTGCCTCGATGTGCTCTACTTAATAAGTATTGTAGTCTTCCTAACACCAGACAAATTTACCTGTGAGTGGTAGAGTACTGCCAATTCATTAATGCAAAGTCAAAACATTGCACTGTTATATACTGTATTGAATCATTGTTGCATGATAGCCTAAAATCTTGAGACATGTTCTTTTACAAGCTCTGATGTTGATGGGGCAGAGAGACTTGCAATTGTTGGAGCAATTTTCTTCGGATTTTGCTCGAAACTCACAGGCTTTATCTTCTTCACGAACTCCTTGCTGGCTTCTTTAAGCAGATTTGCAAACAGAACAGGAAGATAGCTGTATGTTTTCTTTTCTTTCACAATTACCACCCTCCATCTTTTAGCTCGCTTGCTCCAACATCTAGAGAAGACCAATTCTCCTTTGGCACTTCTGGCTTGTTTTCGATGGAGGTGGTGATTATGGTCAATAGCAGCGAGAAGACTGCGAGCAAACAAACCCTCATATCTATGGACATATAAAATACAGTTGATTAATTAAAGTCTGGTTAATGAAAGTTGAATTTCAATCAATGATTTCTGCTCTTATCCAGGGCCACTGAGAAGGGGAGGGGGGGGGGTACTTTGCACTGGGCCCCCAGCTCAAAGTAGCCCCCAAAGCAATGAAGGCCCTTAAAATTTATGGATACAAGATTGCTTACAAGAATATAAATCCCAGCTGCATTAAGGCGGGATAATATGCAATAAAGTGTAATACATTGGAACAACGCTTTTCCCATTTTACAATTATGACCTCATAGGGCTCGCCACATGGCCGTGCCACCTGGGGGGGGGGATATGGGGGTGTAACACACCAAAAAAGTAAAAAAGGGGCCCCAACTTGCGGGGAGGGGGCCCTGACATGCTGGAATTGCAAAATTTTTAAAAAATTAAGGATTTGTTCGCTGAAAATTTCTGGAAAATGTAGTTTTGCGAAACATTTTCCGGAAAAATTTTTGCTTTCTGGAAAATGTTTTTAGGGGGGCCCTGAAATGGAAGGGGGCCCAAATTTTGGAATACACCCCCTAACCAGAAACCGATTGGCACGGCCCTGGCCCCCCCATGGGAAGTTTTGTCCCGGGGCCCGTCTTGGCGGCCCTGCTCTTATAATTTCAGTGTATTGTATAGTGTAATTCAAATAACTTTTAATACTCACTTGAATCCAAATCGTTTGGGAGCATATTTTTTCTTTTTTTTTTTTTTTTT